TATTATTATTATTATTATTATTATCATTATTATTTTATTTTATTTTTATTATAAATTTTTACTTATCTGAATTATTATTACTATTTTATTATTATTATTATTATTATTATTATTAGTAGTAGTAGTAGTAGTAGTAGTAGTATTACATTTTCGCCCCCCAGGCCCCGATGTGGGTCAAAGACCTCTGCCCGGGTGGGCATAATCCAAGTCAGGCCTCACAAGCGAAAGATAGTTTTAGGATAACCTTGCTAGGCCTGTAACTAACATTCATTTGTTAGGTTATGTTAGGGTAGGTTAGGTTATGATTGGTAAGTTTATGATTTGTTGCTTTTCAATGGGAAATGGTCGTAGTAACGTAAAAAAAAATATCTTCGTGATTCTCAACTCGGAAGTTGAATAAAAAAAACGGTATTATTTTAGTTATGTAGTACAACCATCTCATTCGGGGATTTTGGCATTTGCAATATAAATATCGAATAATTATATGACTCTTTTGTTCTATGATACTTACCTCGTAAATGTCAAATACCAGAGATATTAGATGTGTTTTATTCTCTTGTTAATATCATGTACAGGAGCACCTGTCACCTGTTCACTTTGTTTATAACCAACGCTCCACGTCCACAAAAAACGTAAAATTACACCATGACGCGTCAACCAAGTTGCTTGCATTGGTACCAGGTATCAAAATATGCACTTTCTCTTTAATATGGCAGAGGGTTGGCCCCCGTCTAGGAAGTTAGGTAAGGTTTGGTAGGTTTCTTTGGTTGGTTAGGTTCTATTAGGTTCATTATTATTCACTTGTAACGGAAGTGTATAGAATGAAAGTTAGTCAGAATGGTGAGATATATCTATTGCACGTGTTAAAGATCGCAGATTCCATAGTTGTACGAAATTAAAATTCTACCGATTTTTTTTTACCGTTTCCACAAGAGACTATCCCCATTGCATTAAGCGTCAAATATTGAGCAAAATGAGTCCAAATTTGTCCGCCAAACTAGCAACAGTCAAGATCTAAATAATTACCACACCAGGTATTATTGCAACTTTACTCCCAATTTGGTTAGTTTTTTTTAATTCGAACGAATCACACCAAATACCATCGGAGAAACCTAGAATTCTGGTAAAAAACAAAATGGTAATGAAACTGCAGTTTTACCAAGAATCAAACCTAACGACCAGGGGCGTACCAAGTGGGTGGCAGAAGGGGCAGCCGCCCTGGGCGCCAAGGTAAGGGGGGGCGCCAAAGAGCCTATGAATTTTTTAAAATATTTTTCCAAAGGAAGAAAACAAAACGAAAAGATTACTCTAGCAGAACAGCTGTACAACTGCTACACTGGATAGGTTAGTGGTGGGGGGTAAATTCAGCCATTGCCCTGGGCTGGTTACGGCCCTGCTAACAACTTTAGTTAACATCCCGGCTACATAGGCTCCAGTCCGTCAAGCCGGGAATTCCTGGCTAGTACCCACTTCCTATTTTTTAAGGATTGTACATACCTCAAAGAAGCCCGGGCCTTGCTCTTGTGTATGACGCCATCGGAAAATCCAGACATCACCGTCACCTTTTGTCAGACTATAACGTTCAAGTAGTTTCATGCTGTATATAGTCAGTAAGTCCACTTGGAATACACAAATGAAAAGGAACCATATAAGGCGGAGAGGCTCGGCACACCTTCCCTCAACCAAAAATATTTAACATTAAGAAGACGAGTCAAACGACAATGTTTGCCTCACGCTATGGACACAACAGTTGCCACAGACTGTTTTTGCATTTCCATGAGCGCCATGAGCTCCATCTCTCGGCCGGATAGTAAAATAATTGAACGCTTGTCACCATACGTTTTTATTTGTTATAATGTTCCTCTCATATTTTTTCCCCTGACAGTTGCATGTTCTACTGAGTGAATAATATTGTTTCAGAAGTTTTAATGTTTTGTAAATTGAATAATGAAGATATACAATTGTGGTTTATCAATAAAAATGCAGTACTTAGTTAATACATGAGCTATGGAGAGACAGAAAATTCATTGTCAAATTATAATAATAAAATACAATATTTAACTTGAATCAATTATTCTAACTACGTCCTTATTGCAAGTTTGGTTAAAAAAATTAAACGTATCATTTATTTATGAAGCTGTAAAGTTTAACACACATAATTACATGTGCGTGTGTGGGTGTGTGTGTGTACACTTGCTGTTTTGAACATAAATATTTTATACACATTTTTAAGACGATTCTCAATATTTTATGCAAATTATTCAATAATCTGATAGACGAGGACAGACAGTCAGACAAATTAAACAGAGAGAGAGAGAGAGAGAGAGAGAGAGAGAGAGAGAGAGAGTCGTGACAATAAAACCATCACCCCTCAGACACAGTGTTTATTATCCTGGACACTAACACTCAACCCTTAACACAATACACTGCAAAAATAAAACCTCAGTCACTGACAAAACGTGTCTTTATCGTGTCTTCAACGAGTCCTAAACGTGTCGTGAACAAGTTACAGTCTGGTTGGCGCCATCGTCTATCTATCAAACTTTATATAGTTACACCATCTTCTGTTCTATAACGTAGGAATCGTTCAACCTGACCTATCTATCTATCAATCTATCTATCACCCTTCTAATAGTTAAAAGTTGGCCAAATATTGCCTGTCTATCGATCTATTCATAAATTAAAATATATTTATCTGGACTAACAAGCAAAATCCGGATCCCCGAAGTTTCATAGGAGCAACACTTCCGTCTATGGGGTGTGAGACACCGCTAGCGGCTCAGTTAAGCTGCGGCCCAAAGATCACAATCATAAGTTCGTCGAAATTACTGGGGCTCTTCCTCTAACATGGAGGAGATGTCGGGCGGAGTTTGTCGAGCGAATCTTCGAGAATCCGGATTCAGGGTTGTTATTGTTCTTAGTTGTGTACAGCTGAGGCCAGCGAGAGCCAGGCAGTGAGTGGCTGGGGTGTTTGGTGTTAGGATGACACACAAACACCAACCAAACAAAACGAACTTATCGACCCAAAAAGTTTCGATAGGTTAAGTTTGTTTGGTTTGTTTAATCTGTTTTCCAAACATGACGTCATACGCTTCTTTCAATCACAGCCTGGGTGTCGGGGCTCTCTTGTACACAGTAAGATCATCGTGACGTACAACCTTAATGATGTCTGATCACATATACTTATTTGTTTACATTTGTTGGTTGGCGTCACGACACAGTCATATCTCTCAACTACTGCCACTACATCAATACATCTCCCTACGTGTGAATATACATTTATATGTGTACGTCTCTGTATGTATACGTATGAATATATATTTATGAATTCGAGTAAGTAGTATGTATGATTACTTAGTGATAGGCTCAAGAGATGACCCCTCACTATCACTTTCATTACACAGTCCTTACATCTATAGAATGCAGTCTTTCTTTTGATTCGACCTACGGCTGAGTGGATAAAGCACTCGCTTCATGACCCAATGATCGCCAGTTCGAGTCTTGACAGGCTACTGAGCAGGGAGCCCCCCATTCAATCCAGCTGTAGAATGGGCACCCACCTTTACAGGGAGGAACTGAAAGGCGGTGGGTGTTGTGTCGCCTCCCTGCCGCCTTGTGTACCAACGCCTTAGTCTGCCGTGTGCTGTATCCACACTGCCTCTAACGAGCCGCACGGCCTAGGGGATCCATTTTTCACAGTAAAAGGCTTAGATAAAACCCTAAGAATTGTTATCCGGCGATAGTCAGAGACCATCTCTTAATTTACCAGGTTGACGATCCATGAAGGTCGGTGTAGCACAGTACACCAGTCGCCAGTGTTTACACGAGGGAGGACCTGGTCATACAGTACCGTCAAACATGTCCCTCCTGTAACACCTAACATTAATGAGAGGTATTTCACAAAAATTATATATATATATATATATATATATATATATATATATATATATATATATATATATATATATATATATATATATATATATATATATATATATATATATATATATATATATATATATATATACCCTAAACAAGCGTATTCAGGCTTCATGTTCTTCAAGCGTCGAAAACTTAAAGTAAAACATTACATTTTACCTGCTAATGAACACTATTATATCTTGCATGTATATACTGTGTATGTATGTATGTATATATTTATCTATGTATTTACAATAAATACTATGTTCTCTGGTGCTACTGAACTAAATTGCTTTATTTTAAAATTGTTATAGACATCATATAATTTATGATTCCATTTATTTATCGTCTTCAAGATATTTACAATGTGTGACAACTTGTCGTGGTCGTGTGTCTACGATGGGTCGGGTCCCTTAAGTTTCCACGGAACATCAGGAGTTGTGTTCAGTGGGACGGGAATCCCTTGGTGCAGTTCTAAACAAACTGGAGAGCTTCGTCTTCACCCTCATTGAGAGCAAACATCTAAATACCTTGACCACTAAGTAACTGGTCAGCTATTAGGTGACGTCACCCTAATGTCTCAATTGATCATTACTTCATGGCGACTTCTCCACACTTCAGCTAGGACACGTGACATGGTTCAGGTGATCATGTTACATTCTCAACGATATTTTGAACTACATTGTGGCATTAATTACAGTAGCGTTATTCATCCTTGGTATTATATAACTACTGATCCTTAAGAGGAATATACCTTAATATGTCACTCGTCCTCAGTAGTTTTAGGCTCGTATCTAACTTTTTTCACTTAAACTACAACACAGAAACAGTTGCCATAAAACAAACTGTGCCGAAACTACAGTGATCAGATGTGTCGTTCTTATTCAAAATCAATTAACTCATTACCTTACGAATCTCTTCACTTGGATCTTGGTTACCAGTGGCACGAATTTGTTTCACATATCTACAACAAAGAGGACGGAGCGGTTGATAGTGACAGCGTTTACCTTAAGTGTGTTCTGCAGCACTACTGAGGCTATACTGTGCTCGAGGTGTAGACGGATGACTCAAGTACACACACTACTGTACATGTCTTGTTGTGGAAGGAGAGGAAGTGTGGGTAGCCCTGGGTGTAGGTGGTCGTGTACTGTGGGTAGTCTTGGGTGTAGGTGGACGTGTACTGTGAGTAGCCCTGGGTGTAGGTGGACGTGTACTGTGGGTAGTCCTTGGTGTGTAGGTGGACGTGTACTGTGGGTAGCCCTGGGTGTAGGTGGATGTGTACTGTGGGTAGTCCTGGGTGTAGGTGGACGTGTACTGTGGGTAGTCCTGGGTGTAGGTGGACGTGTGGGTGTAGGTGGACGTGTACTGTGGGTAGCCCCGGGTGTAGGTGGACGTGTGCTGTGGGTGTGATCCTGGTTGTGGGTGGACGTGTGCTGTGGGTGGTCTGGGTGTGGGTGGACGTGTGCTGTGGGTGTCCTGGGTGTAGGTGGACGTGTGCTGTGGGTAGTCCTGGGTGTGGGTGGACGTGTGCTGTGGGTGGCAACCTGGGTGTGGGGTGAACGTGTGCTGGTGATCCTGGTTGTGGGTGGACGTGTGCTGTGGGTGAGTCCTGGGTGTGGGGTGGACGTGTGCTGTGCGTGAGTCCTAGGTGTGGGTGGACGTGTGCTGTGGGTGAATCCCCTGGGTGTGGGTGGATGTGTACTGTGGGTAGTCCTGGTGTGGGTGGACGTGTGCTGTGGGTAGTCATGGGTGTGGGGTGGACGTGTGCTGTGGGTGATCCTGGGTGTGGGTGGACGTGTGTGCTGTGGGTAGTCCTGGGTGTGGGTGGGTGTGTGCTGTGTGTGTGGTCCCTAGGTGTGGGTGGACGTATACTGTGGAGTAGCCCTGGGTGTGGAGTGGACAGTGTGCTGTGGGGTAGTCCTTGGTGTGGAGTGGACGTGTGCTGTGGGTAGTCCGATTGTAGAGTGGATGTGCTGTGGGTAGTCTGGGTGTGGGTGGACGTGTACTGTGGGTGATCCTGGGTGTGGGTGTGGACGTGTGCTGTGGGTAGTCCTGGGTGTAGGTGGACGTGTACTGTGGGTAGTCCTGGGTGTAGGTGGACGTGTACTGTGGGTAGTCCTGGGTGTAGGTGGACGTGTACTGTGGGTAGCCCTGGGTGTAGGTGGACGTGTACTGTGGGTAGTCCTGGGTGTAGGTGGACGTGTACTGTGGGTAGTCTTGGGTGTAGGTGGACGTGTACTGTGGGTAGTCCTGGGTGTAGGTGGACGTGTACTGTGGGTAGTCCTGGGTGTAGGTGGACGTGTACTGTGGGTAGTCCTGGGTGTGGGTGGACGTGTACTGGTAGTCCTGGGTGTAGGTGGACGTGTGCTGGTAGCCCTGGGTGTAGGTGGACGTGTACTGTGGGTAGTCCTGGGTGTGGGTGGACGTGTACTGTGGGTAGCCCCGGGTGTAGGTGGACGTGTACTGTGGCCGGGTGTGGGTGACGTGTCTGGTGTCCTGGGTGGGGTGGACGTGCTGTAGGTAGCCCTGGGTGTAGGTGGACGTGTACTGTGGGTAGTCCTGGGTGTGGGTGGACGTGTGCTGTGGGTAGTCCTGGGTGTAGGTGGACGTGTACTGTGGGTAGTCCTGGGTGTAGGTGGACGTGTACTGTGGTGTCCTGGTGTGGTGACGTGTGCTGGGTAGCCCTGGGTGTAGGTGGACGTGTACTGAGAGGGATATTATTTGTTGTCTGCTAACTCCTGGAAGTGTTGTAAATCTTATTATAGTTAAGGAAATATATCTGATATGTCTGTCTGTTTTACCATTGAGTGTGACCTGTTGTAACCCAGAGCTGACAAGAAGTGATTAGTCTTTATTAAGAGACAATTAGTCCTGAAATGTTATAAGCAATGTTGGGAGAAAATAGTTAAGTGTTAACGTTGGTTCTTAAATGCTACAAGTCGTGTCTATGGTGGGATTTACCTGATTTACGAGGAAATAGTTCCCATAACACAAGTCACTACTGGTCTACAGGTAATTCTGAGGCCAGGGGTTGTAGGAGAGGAAGGTGTACCAGTAGAGGAAGTTGATGCAGAGGAAGGAGAGAGGAAAGAGCACTCTGGAGATCTCGTCTATGTTGGAGACTGAGTTCATCTGCAGGAGCTTGTTGGTGGTGGTGGTGGTGGTGGTGGTGGTGGTGGTGGTGGTGGTCTTCTTCTTGCTCCGTCGGCCTTGATTCCAGCGACGTGCCTCCTCCTCTTCTTCTTCCTCTTTTACAACCGCTGCCACTGCCGCCGCTACCGCCTGCTGGCGCCGCTGCTCAGCCCTCCGCGCCTTCTGCAAAGTCTTCCCCATCAGTAAAGCATTAAATATTTCCTTTAATCCATTATAAGTAAACCTGTCTCCTTTCATCCCTCTTTATCACATAGTAACTATATTATAGAATCATCTACGTCTCTATCATACATGGTCTGGGTCTGTACCTCCCACACACGATGAAGTGGTTTATGGTCTGTGGCATAAGAGAATATAACCTCTATTCTTCCCTTTCTACGGTCTATTCTTGCCTTGAAATGGTTTATGATTTATAAGGTCTGTGGTCTGTATGAGAATAGTCTCATGTCCCTCTCATCTTAAGGTGTCTGTGGTCTGTTTGTCACGATTGTTAGTGATCTAAGGTCTGCGGGCTGTACACAGTCTCTCCCACCTTGAGATGGTCTATGGTGTTGACAGGAGTGGCCGGTGTGCTTCCCTTGCCGCCTCTGCCACACAGCCTGGCCAGCCTGGTGAAGAAGGACGACTTGGACCCCATAGTGAGGGATGCCCTGGGTTTTGAGGTTCCCACACCGTTGGGCCCCGTTGAAGGGGACCCAGCCAGGCCCCTCTGAGTCACCGTCATGCACACTGCTACAGGCTGGGGGCAAGAGAGACGGCTGTATTCTCCTGTAAATACAACATAAATGTACAGAATGATATTTCTTAAAAATATCCAACGCGACGTTTGTTAGGATTTTACCGCGTAAGTAGGGCGGTCAGTGCTGTGTGTGTGTGTGTGTGTGTGTGTGTGTGTGTGTGTGTGTGTGTGTGTGTGTGTGATGTGTGTGTGTGTGTGTGTGTGTGATGTGTGTGTGTGTGTGTGTGTGTGTGTGTGTGTGTGTGTGTGTGTGTGTGTGTGTGTGTGTGTGTGTGTGTGTTGTGTGTGGTGTGTGTGGGTGTGTGTGTGTGTGTGTGTGTGTTGTGTGTGTGTGTGTGTGTGTGTGTGTGTGTGTGTGTGTGTGTGTGTTGTGTGTGTGTGTGTGTGTGTGTGTGTGTGTGTGTGTGTGTGTGTGTGTGTGTGTGTGTGTGTGTGTGTGTGTGTGTGTGTGTGTGTGTGTGTGTGTGTGTGTGTGTGTGTGTGTGTGTGTGTGTGTGTGTGTGTGTGTGTGTGTGTGTGTGTGTGTGTGTGTGTGTGTGTGTGTGTGTGGACAAAACAAATTTCTGCTGTTGTCGCCTCGGGTCTCTGATGCCTTGTCGGGTCCCCAACATAATTTTTGTTTTTTATAAATTAGGCCAAGAATTAAATAGTAAAAGAAAATAACAAGCTATTGGATGAAGCCTGGGTGGTGGCTGGGTGTCTAGTGCCTGGGGGCGGTCACACAACTCTCGTCAGTGGTGACCATCTACTACCTGCGCTTTCTTATCCTTCTCCAGTTTTAATGGGTGTGAGATATAGCATAGTCCAGCGTGTACAGCACCACCAACAACCGGTACCCACTTGCTCCCGCTCCCGCCAGACCCTGCATCTTCCACTGGGGCAAGTAGATACACTCAGTACCCAGGAGCCAAGTGAAGGTTGATGGTGAGGGCGTCTTGGATGGGTGGTGAGTACAATGGCCTAAAGATATAACATTGAGTGCTATCCAGTGTGACTCTACATCGCAGGTTTTATCCAGGTTCTCCAGTTTCCCCTGTACTAACAATGAAAGTCACAACACACACACCTGCCACACACACACACTACATATCCGGCTCAAGAGTCACATCTCACCTCCGTATCTGGTTCCTCGTCATCCTCCTCTTCTTCCTCATCTGAGTCGAACTCTGAGCTGGCCTCCGACAGGTAGACCTCACCAGACCCGACCTTTGTGAAGACGTGCACGAAGGCGAACTGTGGGAGGGAGAAATAGTTAACAGGGAAAGAAAAGGGAAGGGAAAGAACTTCAATGTAATAAGAAAGAGAGAGTTGCAACAGGGAAGAGAACGAGAAAACAATGATGGATGGAGAAACAGAGTGGGAGATAGGTGGAGATATCGGGAGAGATATATGTAGAGAGAGACAAATGTAGAGAGAGAGAGAGAGACAATGAAAAAGAGAGTAGAGAGACAGAGACAGAGAGGGGCGGGGAGAAACGGAGGGACATAAAGAAAAAGATAGAGAGAGATTAAACAAATTTACAGATATTTTGGAGAAATTTAACATAGGAACCGCCACTACATCAAAGAAAACAATCTCATTACTACACCAAAGAAAACGGCTTAAAAATATTAGGATAAACTATGACAAACCTCGATGATGGTTGCGAAGATGAACCCATAGGAGAGCCACACAAAAAGGTCAAGGGCGGTAGAATAGGGCACCTTCGGCAGGTCAGTCCTCGCCTCCAGCCCCAAGAAAGTCATCGTCAGCACCGTCGTTATACCTGGAGGACGGTGGTCGATATAAAAAGAGGTTGAATCCGGTGGCCATATTTATGTTGTGTGAGACCTGGTTGGGTGGTGGCAGTATAATTACCAGTTAGTTAATTAATGAGACAGATGATAATAAGTAAATACAAATTATATATCAGTCATGTCCAAGGAACTAAAAATTAATTAAAAAAATGTTTAAAGGCAGCACAGGTTTTAACAGGTCTGGATCCTGATAGAGTCAGGTTTAGTAGAGTCAGGGTTAGTAGAAATGAGGTTAGTAGTCAGGGTTCAGGGGTAGTAGGGGTTAGTAGAGTCGGGTTAAATGAGAGTTAGGGGAAGTTAAAGTAGAGTCAGGGGTTGGGGGTCGGGGGTTAGTAGAGTCAGGGTTAGTAGGTCGGGGGTTAGTAGAGTCGGGGTAAGTCAAGTTGTAGTAGAGTCAGGGGTTGTATGATAGAGGGTTAGTAGAGTCAGAGTCAGGGGTTAGTAGAGTCAGGGTTAGAAGGTCAGGGGTTAGTAGTCAGGGTTTAGTAGAGTCGGGGGTTAGTAGAAATTGAGTTCTTAATAGAGTCAGTTGAGTAGAGTAGAGAATCGGGGGGTTAGTAGAAGGTGTGAAGGGGTTAGTAGAGTCCTTGAGGGGTTAGTAGAGAGTCAGGGGGGTTAGGGGTTAGTAGAGTCAGGGGGGTTAGTAGAGTCGGGGGTTAGTAGAGTTAGGGGTTAGTAGAGTCAGGGGTTAATGCAGTCGGGAAGTTAGTGAGAGGGGTTAGTGAAGTAGAATCAGGAGGTTAGTAGAGTCGGAGGTTAGAGGTTGGAGGTTAGTAGAGTCGGAGGTTAGTCGGTTAGTCGGAGGGGTTAGTAAGTCAGGGGTTAGTAGGGTCAGGAGGTTAACAAGTAGAGTCAGGGGTTGAAGTAGAATCAGGAGGTTAGTAGAGTCGGAGGTTAGTAGAATCAGGAGGTTAATGGGAAGTTAGTAGTTAGTAGAGTAGTAGAGGTCAGGGTTAGTAGAATCAGGAGGTTAGTAGGGTCAGGTTAGTAGAGTCGGAGGTTAGTAGAGTCGGAGGTTAGTAGGAGTCAGAGGTTAGCGAGTCGGGGTTAGTAAGTCGGGGGTTAGTAGAGTCAGGGTTAGTAGAGTCAGGGGTTAATAGAGTCGGGGTTAGTAGAGTCAGGGGTTAGTAGAGTCGGGGGTTAGTAGAGAGTCGGGGGTTAGTAGAGTAGAGTCGGGGTTAGTAGAGTCGGGGTTAGTAAGTCGAGGGTTAGTAGAGTCGGGGGGTTAGTAGAGTCGAGGTCCTTGAGGTTAGTAGAGTCTAAGGGTTAGTGGGGGTTAGTAGAGTCAGGGGTTAGTAGAGTAGAGTCAGGGGTTAGTAGAGTCAGGGGTTAGTAGAGTCGGGGGTTAGTAGAGTCGGAGGTTATCGACTCAGGGACTTGGTAGATTATTAGACTTACCAAGTTTGGTGATTTTCTGAGGTTGGGGAACTTACTTAAGATTAGAACTTTAGGTCGACAGCTTATCAAGGTTCAAAGAATTACTAGAAGTAATGCTTCGAGGACTGATAAAGGCACAAGACAGAGAGGTTACAAAAGTCAAGAACTTACCGGACTCGAGGTCTTACCGGCCTTGGGGACCTACGGGACTCGAGGTCTTACCGGCCTTGGGGACCTACGGGGCTAAAGGACTTACCGGGCTTGGGAACTTACCTGCCTCGGGGACTTACCGGCCTCGGGGACTTACCGGGCTCGAGGTCTTATCGGGCTCGGGGTCTTACCGGGCTCGGGGACTTACCGGGCTTGGGACCTACCAGGCTCGGGGACTTACCTAGAGAGATACGGTCGGAGGTGGCCTCTCTGTTGAGCCAGAACGACACCCAGGAGAGCACCACCAGCAGGACACACGGCCCATACACCGTGATCATGAAGTTACCCATGTGGCGCTGTAGGTGGAAGCTGGCCAGCAGGGTTGAGAACTCCCCTGTCCAGCAGAGACATACCATCACCACCAACAGGACGCAGCATCGTCAGGAGCAACAGGAGCCCGTAGCATCGCCAGTAGCAGCAGTAGCAGGAACGGCGTAGTACCCAGTATTTTGATCAGCAAAGGCAGCAGTAGGAATCGTGCATTCGGTAGCGTCAGTAGAGAAGCCGTAACCAACAGGGAAATCAGCCGAGAGGAGTAGCAGAGGACGTGGCATTGGCAGCAGCAGCAGCAGCAAACAGCAGCGCAGCAAACGACCAGCCAGTCATACGCAACCATTGTGGTGAGGGTTGGCAAGAGTGCGATGGGGAGGAAGAATTGCATCATGCATTACAAAATCACATCGAAAAAATATATGAGCATTACAATGATAGACTGTAATGATCAAGACAACATATTACTGCACGGGTTCTGGGTGCACTGAACGGCAGGTACTGTACGTCAGCGTGGTGTTGTACACAGTAAGCACTATCAAACTTCAACTACCATCTTAAAAAATATGGCCAGAGGTATTAAAAAAGGCGACTTTTTCTCTGGATGGTCACAGTGCACATATAAGCTTGTGTCTGAGCGTGACTTGTCTTTTAGTTTACCTCGGGTTCTACGGTAAAGGGTGCGGTCATCTGGTCTGTGTGTGGCGCCATACCACCGGGGAGGACGCAGGGGGGACAAAGGGTACATGCCAAGCTCAGTTTACGTAAGCATTTAATTTTCATCAACGAGAAGGTAAAGGGGCACGCAACACGGATCAACACATTGATTACCAAACACCGACTGTCAGGTGGAGTGTGGCAGCTCTCACCTACCTGGGGCGGGGTCAGGTAGCGCTGGGGTCACCTACATCCACCGAGAGAACTCGTTGTTCTTCACTGGCGCGAGAGGACTGAGACTTTATGGTGAATAAATCAAACTTACAAACATCAGCAAGTATTATTCCTGTCATTAACGTGGGTCCCAGAGGCCTGTTAGGAGCAATGTGGATATAGCACACTGAAGTCTTCGGTACACAAGGGGGCAATGTGGCTGGCACTGCACTCTAAGACTATTCCTTCTCCAAGACTATAATTTGCTACCCATTCTGCAGATGGGTCGACTGGGTGGCGCCTCACTCAGTGGCCAGTCGTGGAGTTCGAACCAGTGACCTTTGGGTTAAGAGGTGAGTACTAAGTCCTCTCGGCCGCCGCGCCCCTTCTTTTTGTTTTTTGTTTGTTAATTATCTTTTGTCTTACCGAGGGCCACGCGGTCTGAGGTGGCCTCGCGGTTGATCCAGAAGGCGACCCACGAGAGCACGTTGATGAGGACACAAGGGGCGTACACCTGTATCACAAAGTATCCCATCCGACGGCGGAGGTGGAACGACGCCATCAAGGTGGAGTATATCCCTGTGGGGGCGGGCGAGGGTGTGAGGTGGGCGGTAGGCGGGGTGGAGTTTATAACCTGAATGATATACATAACACTTGGTTTGGACTCTAAGCTTCAGGCGAGTTCGAATTTGTCAACAAACAGCTGCTAGCGCGTCCCCCATGGCCAGAAATTTTGACAAATAACAATGACAATTAACAAAAAAGTTTAACAATCCTTGTACGTACGCAAGTCTGAATATATATATATATATATATATATATATATATATATATATATATATATATATATATATATATATATATATATATATATATATATATATATATATATATATATATATATATATATATATGTGTGTGTGTGTGTGTGTGTGTGTGTGTGTGTGTGTGTGTAAGGAGATAAGAAATTAATGATAAACAACTAACGACCCTGGTGTGAATAAGATCAATTCGCACCGGCGCCTGTCGCCCTGTAAACTGGTAGCCAATTGTCACAGCCAGACAACCGGTACTGTACAGTAGCTCGTGTTGAGCCTCGTGATTTAACTCGCTGATTCGGGAACAAATTAGAGCAACGATCGGAACAAACATGGCGGAGATGAGCAGGAAATTAGGACTTATGCTGGACACAAACTTTTCGTCGATACAAACACGAAAAACACAAAACGTTAACTGAAACGAAAAAATGAATACACAAGTTGTACTTTCTCGCTCACCTTCTCTGACCAGATGACATCATTCACCTGTACACACCTGTTGTTTACACACAGGAAGACGGGCTACCACACAGCTCCAACTATGATATACAGTAACTGATATGGACGCTGCTTTTGCTGTTCCAATAATGTTTAACCATTTTATAAGACTACGGCGATAATACCATCTGTCTTAGTATAAACATCATACAACGGCTAATGTTTCATATCACGAATATAAGGTCAAGGAAATTAATAAAATACTGTTATGAAGTTGAGACGTAAATTACGGTGATTGTTCTGTGACTTCACGAGTATTGGGTCAATAGATACTGTGGCACCAACATGCACTCAAGGTAGGCAAAACTTTAAGAATATTAACCTAACCTAACAGTAACCCACTTCTTGCCTTCCGTAACGATAATATGACAAATACTAACACTTACAGAGAATCAGGTGTGTCTTACCATCGACGTTACTGACTGACACCTGAAGCACACTAGCTGGTTGACTCTCACGTGAGCGATGTATAAAAGTTACTATAATTGTCCCCTTAACTGAGCGGCACCCTTCCCCACTGACGGCTATGTGTGGGTACTGTACTAGGGATACTTGTTATACATGTGGATAAATGTGGATATTATGGATATATAGAGATACCATGGATAAATATAGGTAAAATAGAACAATATATACAACTATGGATAACTCTGGATTGAGGTATTAATAAATGTGAATAAAAACATAGGAATTTGAGATAAATATGGATACAATATATTTAAATAACTCCTATGGATGAATAGATATTAAGACTGAAAATAAAATAACATCATAATACCAGGACACGATGAACCCAGTTACCTCCTTCTTCTTCCCTTTCTCAATCATTTCTTCTCTTATCTCTATCACTCCTTCCATCCCTTCTCCCCCTTTCTACTTCTCTCCATCCTCCTCCCCCACTCACTCACCCTCTCTTCTCCTCCCTCCCCTCACAGTCACTCCCGCCCTCCTTCCATCACTGCCCAGGTAAGCAGGGGATCGTAATGATGACACGGCCACATATTTCTTGACGAGGTAATGAGAAATACAGGTATTTGAGGAACTCTGTGTGTGTGTGTGTGTGACGACTTCAGGTCAAATGGGCCCCAGATCAAATAGGCCCAAGTCCTACTGGGCCCCGAAGCACCCTGAAAACCAAATTATGGGAACCGGGACCCATTAGAACTGGGGCCCACTAGAACCGGGGCCCAATTAGAACCAGGGCTAATTAGAACTGGAGCCCATTAGAACCCAATTAGAACCGGGGCCTATAAAGACTGGGTCCCATTTGATCAGGTTACCATTAAAACCTTCGTATAACAGCATCAAAAGTATCAATTATTCCCGACAAACCAAAATATTGATAATTAAATAGAGCCGACAGACAAAAATTAGTTAGTTAATTACTATCCTTATATAATTGCAGGTAATATCGTGATGGAGCAACCAAAGGAAGTTAATGAAGAGATCTTACCTGTGTAGACTCTCTCAGGGGACAAACACTAATGAAATGTCAATAATAATGTTGGTGCTGTGTGTGTGTGTGTGTGTGTGTGTGTGTGTGTGTGTGTGTGTGTGTGTGTGTGTGATTTAATAGACCATAAATATCTATTACATTCCTGAAATTTTTAAGTTTACCCCAAATTTTTTACCTGTTAAACTGACAAGGTGAAACTGATGTCCCTCAAAACACCCCTGAAAAAAGACCGCCTGCCCCCTCCCCCCTCCCCCCTTTCTTAATTGAATAATGACACTGACCTCTACATTAACAAGTTATAGGGGTGAAGATAGTGAAGCAAGGTGCCCTAAGTCGACCCTTTTGGATTCAGGGACCGTGTCATGTTACCATTTATTTTCAGTCAGGTGATATGATAATTTGAAGTAAGGTTAATATACTGAGGGTATTTTGTTTTACTTATCTCAAATTAACAAATACCAATGTTAATACCAGTAAATACCAATGTTAATACCAGTAAATACCACTGTTAATACCAGTAAATACCAATGTTAATATCAGTAAATACCAATGTTAATACCAGTAAATACCAAGGTTAATACCAGTAAATACCAAGGTTAATACCAGTAAATACCAATGTTAATACCAGTAAATACCAATGTTAATACCAGTAAATACCACTGTTAATACCAGTAAATACCAAGGTTAATACCAGTAAATACCAAGGTTAATACCAGTAAATACCACTGTTAATACCAGTAAATACCAATGTTAATATCAGTAAATACCAATGTTAATACCAGTAAATACCAAGGGTAATACCAGTAAATACCAAGGTTAATACCAGTAAATACCAAGATTAATACCAGTAAATACCAAGGTTAATACCAGTAAATACCAAAGTTAATACCAGTAAATACCAAGGTTAATACCAGTAAATACCAAGGTTAATACCAGTAAATACCAAGGTTAATACCAGTAAATACCAAGGTTAATACCAGTAAATACCAATGTTAATACCAGTAAATACCAAGGTTAATACCAGTAAATACCAAGGTTAATACCAGTAAATACCAAGGTTAATACCAGTAAATACCAATGTAATACCAGTAAATACCAATGTTAATACCAGTAAATACCAAGGTTAATACCAGTAAACCAAGGTTAATACCAGGTTAATACCAGTAAATACCAAATACCAGTAAATACCAAGGTTAATACCAGTAAATACCAAGGTTAATACCAGTAAATACCAATGTTAATACCAGTAAATACCAAGGTTAATACCAGTAAATACCAATGTTAATACCAGTAAATACCACTGTTAATACCAGTAAATACCAATGTTAATACCAGTAAATACCAAAGTTAATACCAGTAAATACCAAGGTTAATACCAGTAAATACCAAGGTTTATACCAGTAAATACCAAGGTTAATACCAGTAAATACCAAGGTTAATACCAGTAAATACCAAGGTTAATACCAGCAAATACCAAGGTTAATACCAGTAAATACCAGGGTTAATACCAGTAAATACCAAGGTTAATACCAGTAAATACCAAGGTTAATACCAGTAAATACCAATGCTAATACCAGTAAATACCAATGTTAATACCAGTAAATACCACTGTTAATACCAGTAAATACCAATGTTAATACCAGTAAATACCAAAGTTAATACCAGTAAATACCAAGGTTAATACCAGTAAATACCAAGGTTAATACCAGTAAATACCAATGTTAATACCAGTAAATACCAAGGTTAATACCGTTAAATACATGTACTCTAATCTAGTAATATATACATTAATTGTTCTAGTTCCATATCGACATTTTTTAGCAATTTTAACACAGGTTTACTCTCTACCTTTCACATACACCTGTCACACATTTGTCACACACTTATTATACACACAACTGCTACACCTGTCAAACCTTACCTACCACATATCTGTAACACACATACACCTACAACACATGTGAAACACCTACCACACCTCCCCCCACAACACATACATCTAACAAACCTATCCCCCCCACACCCAGCCTCCCCCCCACGCACACCTACTTCCCCCACACACACCTGCCCCACCCAGCCTCCCCCCCCACACCACAACACCTGACATACACCTATCATACTCTACAAGTCACACACCTACCTCACACCCCACCCCACACCTGACACACACTTCACAAACATACCCTACACACCTCCCACACACTTACCCCCCAAACTTACATACACCCCACACACACACACACCTACCCCACACCCCAAACAGCTACGCCACACCCCACACACCTGCCCTGCGCGTGGTGTTCTCAAAGCCAGAGGGTGTGGCTATGAGGTCGAACTGTGAGAGCATCAGGTCTGAGGCAATCACCACCTGCCGATTCTCGTTCCACCTGTAGATGACATCCTGCGTGGTGTAGGCGACTGTGGGGAAGGAGAGGAGTTGATGGATGGACAGACAGACAGACAGACAGACAGACAGACAGACAGACAGACAGACAGACAGACAGACAGATAGATAGATAGATAGATAGATTAAATGTACTTGACTAAATTCAGTAGATATAGATGAAATAGATTTAATTAACTGGTACATTAACTGATTGACTTATGACTGTGAAGACTGACTGACTGACTGACTGACTGGCTGAAAGAATGACTAGATGACTGAATGGCTGACTGACTGAGCATCCTTAATCACCTGCCATATAGATGAGATCATCCTCATAATTCAAAACATTACTTACAACAGTTACTTAAAGGAGTTACTGACAACCTTTACCCATAAGTTACAACCGTTACTCACAATTTACTCACAACTATTACTCAAAAGTTACTCATAAGTTACACTCATTACTCACAATTTACTCACAACCTTTACTCAAAAGTTACTCATACGTTACAATCATTACTCAAAAGTTACTCATAAGTTACACTCATTACTCACAATTTACTCACAACCTTTACTCAAAAGTTACTCATACGTTACAATCATTACTCAAAAGTTACTCATAAGTTACAACCATTACTCATAATTTACTCACAACCCTTACTTACAATTTATTCACAACCATTACTCACAATTTACTCACAACCATTAATCACAATTTACTCATAACCTTTACCCAAAGGTTACAACTATTACTGAAAACTTACTCATAAGTTACAAATATTATGCATAATTTATTCACAATTTACTCATAAACTGCCCACACCAGTTACTCACAAGTTACTCATAAGTTACAACCATTACTCACAACCATTATTTAAAAGTTACTCATAAGTGACAAACATTATGCATAATTTACTCACAAGTTACTCACAACCATGACTCAAAATTTACTCATAAGTTACTCACAGGACCCAAGCTTGAGGGGGCAGCGCTGGGTGTCCATGGGGAAGTCATGTAGGTTCATGGGACAGTTGGCGTTAATGGTGAGTCTGGCGGGGAATAATGCCTTTATAAACCTCTAATGATTCCTTATACTGCTCTCAGGAACATTTACACTGTGTCATGACATTGTAAAAATCTGTTATGAAATTGTAAAAAAAAAAAATATGAAATTGTAAAAAAATCTGTTATGAAATTGTAAAAAAAATATGAAATTGTAAAAAAATCTGTTATGAAATTGTAAAAAAAATCTGTTATGAAATTATTGTAAAAACATGTGAAAAAAAAACGAATTCTTGAAAAAAAAAATTAAACAATGGAAAGATCTCATAAATCCACTTGAATGATATATTTCGGGTAAATTAAATGAGGTAAATATATTTCATGTTTACTAAGACTCAAAATTTTCATCAAATCTCTGCTTTCTTCACCAACTAAGGTTCAAGGTGTTTGATTCTCTGTTCGAAAAAAAAAAACAAAAACAATTTAAACGTTGCGAATCATTAATCAAACAAAAATTAACTACAGTTTTTTTATAAAATAAGAAAATATTCCAAGTCAGAAGAAAACTCTCAAGTATTTTACACATGATTCCTGGGATGGCTGAGGGGTGACCGATAAATTTCAGAATGAACACTGCGACTCCTGATGTCTCGGTAGGGTTGTTAAAATACTTCGTTCGGTGTGTCATATTTTTTTCAACACAATTTTGTATAGATATATTTTTTTTAGTGACTACATGAACATCTGCCTCACGAGTTCTTTAGAGGACAAAATGATAAGAAAATAAATAAAAAATGAATAAATAAATTAAATATATAAATGAAAATAAATAAATAAATAAATAAAATAAATTGAGGACATTACTGGATATAATATGGCTGGTCTAATTGCCTTCCATTTTACCATTGTTATATACACTGGATATTGTATACCAGTATGATCTATGTACACTGTATACTTGCACTGTTTATACACATCCTAAACCAACTGTAAACCTGTATGCTGATTTTATCTTATGTTATTATTATTATTATTATTATTTAAAGTAACATAGATTAAGTAAATACAATATCTATCCTGATCTGTCGTTACCATCCCCATAAGAACAGTGGAGCCATGACGTTCCGGTGGTCAGTATTGGAACCACGTCACCCATTTACTAATCACATAATCACTGTTCGTTGTTCTAATCACATAATCATAATCCCATATTCTACTCAAATTTCCCTTCTTACCAATCACTAATCATGTCACCCGCCTCTGATTTTCTATTCCCTCCACCCACACATTTTCATCGGTGATTTGTCGTTTAATTGAATCATCGCTTAATTGAACCGGGAGAGAGGAGGAGGAGGAGGAGGAGGAGGAGGAGGAGGGAGGGAGGTTTGGGGGGAGGGTCAGGGGTGATGTGGAAGGGAGGGGGAAGGTTAGGTGGAATAAGAGGGGAAGGGGAATGAGGAAGAGGAGTGGAGAGTGAGGGGTGAGGTGGAATAGGAGGTGGAAGGGGAGGTTTTAATAATTTGATGCTACGTTAATGTATACATATAAACCACCACTGTAAACCAGGATTTATATTATATAAATTTTGTTGGTCTTTAAGGAAGATATACATCGATCTGAAGAGCTCCTGTGTGTATGATTATGTTACGTTATGTACATCAAGATAATGATGATATAAATAAAAGACTAAAGAAAAAAATTAACAAAAGTCAGTTCAGTCAATAATGTTTCGGGTTTAAGAGAAAATATATATAATTACTATTGTATTTATTTTCCATTACTTGTCGACGCCATATTTGTGGAAAGGTCTTTTGTGTTGTTGAAGGGAAGAGTGTACAGTGTGTGGTGTGTACAGTGTGTGGTGTGTACAGTGTGTGGTGTGTACAGTGTGTGGTGTGAGCAGTGTGTGGTGTGAGCAGTGTGTGGTGTGTACAGTGTGTGGTGTGTACAGTGTGTGGTGTGTGGTGTGTACAGTGTGTGGTGTGTACAGTGTGTGGTACAGTGTGTGGTGTACAGTGTGGTGTGTACAGTGTGGTGTACAGTGTGGTGTGAGCAGTGTGTGGTGAGCAGTGTGTGTGGTGTGTACAGTGTGTGGTGTGACAGTGGTGGTGAGCAGTGTGGTGAGCAGTGTGTGGTGTGTGAGCAGTGTGTGGTGTGAGCAGTGTGGTGTACAGTGTGGCAGGTACAGTGTGGTGTGTACAGTGGTGTGTGTACAGTGTGTGGTGTGTACAGTGTGTGGTGTGTAGCTGTGTGTGTGGTGTGAGCAGTGTGTGGTGTGAGCAGTGTGGTGTGAGCAGTGTGGTGTGAGCAGTGTGTGGTGTACAGTGTGTGGTGTGAGCAGTGTGTGGTGTGAGCAGTGTGTGGTGTGAGCAGTGTGTGGTGTGAGCAGTGTGTGGTGTGTACAGTGTGTGGTGTACAGTGTGGTGTACAGTGTGGTGTGCATGTGTGGTGTACAGTGTGTGGTGTGAGCAGTGTGTGGTGTGTACAGTGTGGTACAGTGTGTGGTGTGTACAGTGTGGTGTGTACAGTGTGTGGTGTGTACAGTGTGTGAGCAGTGTGTGGTGTGTACAGTGTGTGGTGTGCAGTGTGGTGAGCAGTGTGTGGTGTGTACAGTGTGTGGTGTACAGTGTGTGGTGTGTACAGTGTGTGGTGTGTACAGTGTGTGGTGTGTACAGTGTGTGGTGTGAGGCAGTGTGTGTGGTGTGTACAGTGTGTGGTGTGTACAGTGTGTGTGCAGTGTGTGGTGTACAGTGTGGTGTACAGTGTGTGGTGTGTGCAGTGGTGTGTACAGTGTGTGGTGTGATGTGGTGTGTACAGGTGCAGGTGTGGTGTGTACAGTGTGTGGTGTGAGCAGTGTGTGGTGTGAGCAGTGTGGTGTGTGCAGTGTGTGGTGTGTACAGTGTGTGGTGTGTACAGTGTGTGTGTACAGTGTGTGGTGTGTACAGTGTGTGGTGTGTACAGTGTGTGGTGTGTGCAGTGTGTGTGTGTGGTACAGTGTGTGTGTGTGCACAGTGTGGTGTGTACAGTGTGGTGTGTACAGGTGGTGTGTACAGTGTGTGTGTGAGCAGGTGTGGTGTGTACAGTGTGTGGTGTGTGAGCAGTGTGTGTGTGTACAGTGTGTGGTGTGAGTAGTGTGGTGTGTACAGTGTGTGTGGTGTGAGCAGTGTGTGAGCAGTGTGTGGTGTGAGCAGTGTGTGGTGTACAGTGTGTGGTGTGTACAGTGTGGGGAGTAGTGTGTGTGTGTACAGTGTGTGGTGTGTGTGTACAGGTGGTGTGTACAGTGTGTGTGGCAGTGTACAGTGTGGTGTGAGCAGTGTGTGGTGTGTACAGTGTGTGGAGGAGGTATGTGGCTGTTGTAGGGTTTGAGGGACGAAGGGTGTTGCAGTGAGGAAGGTGGGGGGTGTATATTTTTAGAGGGAGGGCGGTTGAAGTGGTGAGGGAGGAGGTGGTGAGGGAATTTTGGGGAGGGAGTTGCAGGGGGTTGGAGGGGTGAAGGGTTGGAGGGGTGGGGCTGGGAGGGGTGAGAGGGTGTTGAAGGGGGGGATGAGGGCTTGGAGGGTAAAGGAGTGATGAAGGTGACGGGGATTGGACAGAAGAGGGTACTGGCAGAGGTGACGAGGTTGGAGAAGAGTGAATGGATGAGGAGGTGACATGGGGAGGGGGGAGGTGTAGGGAGGGCTGGTGGGGAGGTAGAGGGAGGTTAGGGGAGGTGTAGGGAGGGCTGGTGAGGTAGAGGGAGGTTAGGGAGGTTTAGAGGGCTGGGAGGTAGAGGGAGGTTTAGGAGGGCTGGTGGAGGTAGAGGGAGGTTAGGGAGGTTTAGGAGGGCTGGTGAGGTAGAGGGAGGTTTAGGGGGGCTGGTGGAGGTAGAGGGGAGGTCAGGAGGTTTAGGGAGGGCTGGTGAGGTAGGGAGGTTAGGGAGGTTTAGGAGGGCTGGTGAGGTAGAGGGAGGTTGGGGAGGTTTAGGAGGAAGGTGGAGGTAGAGGAGAGGTAGAGGGAAACAGAGGGTACAGGGACCAACAATTCACTTTTAAGAGTAAATAGAGAAGTACTTTAATCTACTCGCAGGAAGTAACTTGCAGGGGTTCACTTGTACTCAAAATGATATACAGAGAATGGTTTTGGGTCAATGGCGGCAATGTTGGTACAAGACTATAGACCCCAGGTGACTACTGCGAAGAGAACAACACTCATTTGGATGTATAAGTTTAGGAATGTTTATAAAAAAAATCAGTCTCATACTTTTATATGGTCACACCCGGAAAAATTTCTAGGAAGGGTGACGGTATTGAGCTGTAGGGTAAACTGGAGATAGATTCAGGGGTTTAGTCTGGCAGGTTGGTGACTCGCCACAGTACAGGAGTAAATTGGAAGACGAGGGGGGGCAGGTAAATAGGGGTAAATATTTACAGAACGGTTCCATACCCGTGGGAAGGTCAGACCTCCGAGTTTTAAAAGTTCGTGAGCTCGGATTTTTCCACCGCAAAAAAAGGATATAATGTCAACTTTTACGTTACGGTCGAGTTCCAATATGTTTTCGACGCCATATTGGCCGCTATACTTATGCCCTGGCTTAGGACGTTTGCCGTTTAATTTGTGCCACTCACACATAGCACAGTTTACAGTAGAGAATTTAAAGTACTGTACGAACTCTTTAGATTTGGATTCAGGAAGCCAAAGAGAGGGGGAGGGGGCACCGCATACCTTTAGTTCGTGTGTTACATCGTTTGTTTACATCCTCCCCACGTGGAGGCGCGTCAGCTGAGCGGATGTCAACATTGACCCATTGTGCGCCCTGATGGATTTTACGGGCGTCATCCCAGAGAGAGAGAGAGAGAGAGAGAGAGAGAGAGAGAGAGAGAGAGAGAGAGAGAGAGGGGAGAGAGAGAACAGTAAAAACACGCCAACTGAAATATTCACGTCTCAAAAAATTCAATGAAAAGGAATTACACACCACTTGAACGTACAACAATACAGAAGGCATAAGACATTAACACAAAAACAGAGAAATAATGTGACGAACAGAAAGAGACAAGATGAATGTGATGAG